TATGCAGGTAAATCGCCCATTCTGGTTAAAAGTGTTTGGCCGCGCACACGGCTGCAAACAAGACAATCCCTTACGACACTTCTAGCGAGCCTCCTGCCGTTAATAGGCCAAACGGTTTCTCTCAAGGTAGCCAGTAGAAGCTGTGGACCAGCATGCAGATTTTTGATGTGTTCACGTTCAAACAGTAACCTTGTCGAACGATGCGAGGAGTCAATTAATATGGGATGCTTCTTTTCAAATGGGTAGTTGGAGGAACCAAGTCGACCACCAACACGTATTACAAACTGCTCATCCAAAAATGGTGATAGAGACGAAATTTTCGATTTACTGCTCAACGCAACGCCCTTCAAAAGTTTCTCGTACTCTGCCTTAAAACACAATGATTGATTAATTTTGCAAATTAAAATAAATGAGTTTTGCAACTCCTCGGGCCTAAAATACCCTGTATACTTCATGGATTTAGTTTTAGAATTTATATTATGGCAAAAACGCAACACGAAAGCCAGAATTCTACGTACTTTATCAAAATTCGAAAATTTATTAAAGTCGATTAAGGGTATTCCCTCATCTACGATCGCAATAGTGAGTACCTTGACTTCAGGTAAGTTCTCAACTACTGTTTTTCCGTTTAATTTGGGCCATTCTAATTCATTTTTTTTTAAATAACTAGGACCTGACCACCACAATTCCATGCTAGAAAGCTGGTTGCTATTGACTCCACGAGATATTAAATCAGCAGGATTGGAGTCAGTTGGAACATAGTACCACGATTTGGGATTAGTTAATTCCAGTATTTCGCCTATTCTGTTAGCAACAAATTGCTTAAGCTTCATTGGATTACTGTTAATCCATCCCAACACCACACTCGAGTCGCACCAGTGAAACGTACGAGTAGGGAGCCCTCTTAATGAATCAAGTACACTCCTAGACAGTCTAGCAGCTAACAATGCGGCACAGAGTTCGAGACGAGGTATGGTGCACGGTTTAAGAGGTGCCACCTTTGACTTTGAGCATAGTAGCCTCACCGTGATCTCGTTGTCACAGCTCGTGGATCTCAAGTATACACAAGCACCATAAGCGCATTGCGAAGCGTCACTAAAGGTATGCAGCTCAAAAGATGTCGGAGACTCGCACAGCACCCTGCGGGGAATCTGAAGACTTGCAAGAAAAGACAGGTTATTGTAGATTTCAGACCACTTCTCCCTAAGATCCACAGAGATGGGTTCATCCCATCCTATTCCTTCTAGCCATAGCCTTTGGACTAATATTTTTGCTTGAATAATGCAGGGGCTCAAAAGACCAAGCGGGTCATAGATTTGAAATGAAAGCGACAGTATAATTCTTTTTGTGATGGTGCTTATATCAATGTCAGTATTAACCTTGATTGGAAAGTTGAAAGTATCATTCACAGGGTCCCAACCAAGACCCAGGGTGTGCGAAGACTCACTTAACGTTAAGACATCTGCAGAACTCAAATCTGAATCTTCAAACAAAACCTTTGAATTTGTTTTAAATTTCCTCAAGGGGAAACATGCTGAATTTAGGGCGTTTGTTACTGAATTTAGTATGTGACGTAACTCTAGTTCATTATCACAGCCGGTGATCAAATCATCAACATAGAAATCCTTTTGTATGATATCTTTGATGAATTGTTCACCACATTCCTCTCCAACTTGGTTTAAACATCTAGTACTCAAGTAACTAGCGCTTGCAGTACCATATGTTGTAGTATTGAGACGCCATGTTTTAATGGGCTCATTCTCATTTTCCCTCCACAAGATCAGTTGCAAGTCCCTGTCTTCTTCATTGACATTTATTTGACGGTACATTTTAGCTATGTCACCGGTCAAGAGAAATTTGTGTTGACGGGCTCTGACCAATATGGAAAAAAGCGACTGTTGGACGTTAGGGCCCACCATCAATATATCGTTTAAAGAATATCCTGAAGTTGTGGGAGAGGAGCCATCGAACACGACTCGAATTTTGGTTGACTCACTCTCCTCTTTAAAGACAGCATGATGACATAAAAAATATGATGGATATTGTTCTTTCGTGGGTGATTCAGACATATGACCTAAATCTTGATATTCCCGCATAAAGTTTGTATATTGTAATTTTAGCTCTGGATTTCTTTTAAATCGCTTTTCAAGGTTTAGAAGCCTTTGTTTGGCTCGAAAGTAAGAATCTCCAAGGCAGTCGGGAGTATCCTTTAGAGGCAACTTCACGCAAAATCTGCCCTCTGGAGAACGAGATGTATTCTTCACAAAATGTTTTTCACATTCAATATCATTGTAGCCGAGAACTGTCTTTTGTGGCAGATCTTCGAGCTCCCAAAATTTTGTTATTAATTCATCAACCTTAAGTGTTTTATTTTGATTGAGAGATGCATGATTGCAAAAAAACTTATTATGTCCCAATAAGTTAGTTGAACCAGCAACAATCCAACCGAATTTAGAACTTCGTAATTGTATTTTGTTATTTGGTCCCAAGTATTTTTGCTTACAGCCAAGAATGTCCCAAAAGAGATCCGCACCAATCAAAACATCAACCGGAGCAGGATGGGCAAACTGAGGATCTGCAAGCCTTATGGTTTTGGGTATGTTCATATTTTGTACATTAACAGGTGTCTTTGGCAACAAACCTGTTAACTCTTCGAGTACATAGCAGGATAAGGTAGTTTGGTAAGTACTATTTATAGACTTAATCTTAGCCAAACAACTTTCCTTTATTTTATTGTTGCAATTATTTCCTATTCCAATCACATTAACCGCCTTTAGAGGTGCAGTGTTCAGTGATAACCTTTGTGTAAGCGACTTTGTTATAAACGAAGACTGACTACCACAATCAAGCAGAGCACGCACTCTTTCTATCGCACCACTATCCGGATTGATGACGTCCAACAAAGCCGTGGAAAGAAGCGCACAATTCGAATCACCATTATATAAGGTTACAACCGAATTAGGTTCACTACCTCCATCAACTTGTTCAGAGGTAGAACAGCCGACAACAACGCCAGGATCGTGCAACAAAGTATTATGCCGTTGATTGCATTGTCGACAAGGCCCCATACGACATTCATTAAGAGGATGCCCTTGACGTAAACAGTTTTGACATAACTTATATTTAGCAACTAGTGAATATTTTTCCTTTAAACTCTTTGATTTGAAAACTGGGCAATCATAAATTCTGTGATTATTATTACAGATTACGCACAAGAATGTAGAATTGTTTTGGTTTGATTTTACGGATATAAAGGTATTCGTATTTTTGCCATCATTGTTACTATTAACTTTACTATTGCTCGAATTGTAATTAGGAAACGAACGAGAATGAAATTTCATATTTGAATTTGACGTGACCTTGAAGTTGTTGCCGACAGTCGGCTTGTTTAGATGTTTATTGCGATTCAAGGATTCGAGTACATCGGCACGGTCAACCAAAAACTTCTTAAATTGTTCTAAAGAAGGAATGTCATCCAAAGTATTTCGAAATTCCTCCCATTTGACATTCGTTTCACTATCCAATTTTGACGAAAGAATGAAAATTACAAGAACGTCCCAATGTTGGGTTGGAAGACCAAGGCTAGTAAGTGCCCGAAGATTTTTAGTGACATGATCAACAAGGAAACGCAATGATCTTTCCGATTCTCGATTTATGGGATGAATTTTAAATAATGAATCTAAATGATGATTAATGAGAAGCCTCTTATTGTCGTAACGATCACAAAGAAGCTGCCAGGCTTCCTTGTAATTAGTAGAAGATACTTCCAAATTGGTAATGATACGCGCTGCATCCCCTTCAAGATACGATATTAAGTAATGAAATTTATGTATATCTGTTATGTTGGTTTTTTTGTGAATTAAATTCGTAAAAGTGTCACGGAACTCAAGCCAGCGGAAGTAGGATCCGTCAAATTTTGAAATTTGAATTTGTGGCAACCTTATACCCAATTCTATGTCAGGGCACTCATGGATAGACTTGTTTATCGAGCCATCATTTTGTTTTATTATAGCTTTAGCCTTTGCAATGCATTGAATAAACAAATCCTCAATGAGCTCCCTTTCATCAACCTCACATGATAAATTATCTGAATTTATATCTTCTATCTCAGTCTGCAAATCGTCGAATCTGGCTGACAAGCTTTCAAATTTATTTAATTTTAAATTTAATTCTGCAATTTCTAAATCAGTTTTTTCCTCTATGTTCTCACTTATCTTTTCTATATAATTTTTAAACTTAGTTATTTGTCCCTTTATAGAACTGCGTTTTGTATAAAGAGATTTTAAATTTGTTGTTGTAGCAATTAAATTAGAAACAGCTGGATTAGGTGATAATGCAGTAGCCATTTTGACACCAAATTAATTGGAAAATTACGAAAATGCTTATTCAATCAACAAAATTCGACGGCAAAAGAGGAAATATTGAACTTGTTTGCAAAAAAAAAAAAAATAGGAATAATTGAACAGGCTTATCTGACGCTCCCAATTTGCCGGAATGTCTCGGTGGGTGTCCTCCGGTAACGCAAGCGATCGAACTCCAAACGCTCTGTCACCTTTCCGCACCACAAATGATTTGCCTGGAAAATGCCCGTTAAATCGGATGAGAAAACAGCCAAATAACACTTTTGTGACACTAAAATGCTCTATTTGTTAACTAACAACTGATATTGATTTTTAAATAATTTAAACTTTTTCCTTTTTTGTTATATAATAAAACCAATTAATAAACCTACACTGTTTTGAAGAATTCTTTTATTTTATATTAAATCCCAACACACATAAAATTACACCCCTAGAAATCCTACCCCGTGGAGCCCTGGAACCTTACTCACCGACAGAAACACAACACCACCAAAAGGTAATGTTATTTCACTGCGGTATTCTGTAAGGTGGAGGTTACTTCCCCAGACGGGCGCTCCAATTCGAGCGGCGAATCCGCTATGCCCTACCTCTCTTTGGTGAAAATGGATTGAGCTAATTGTGGGTAATAAATAGTGTCACAAAAAAATCCTTTTCAAATCAATTTGGAAGTTATTAGTATGAAATTAATTGAATTTAGGAAAGTTATTATTATTGAGTAGAGGGAAATACAATGAATTATACAATTAAACCTTGATTTAAGCAGATTTTTTTATAAAATTATGTAGGTAGGTAGGTACTTACGGTTTTGTAGTTGATTATTTGCCGAAAAATGCACTAAAATTATGTAATATCAGTAGAAACAATTTATAAATTTATTAATATTTATGGTAATGAATTGATAGGAATGGATTTTGTGGATTTTAGGAACAAAGGATGGCACTTAACTTTGAACTCGAAGTATTTGTAGTTTGCTCAGCACGATTCTTTCGATGATTCGTTGGACCTCGCAAGCCACACGACGACTTATTAAGTTTCCTGTTTTGCTTTGCTTCCTTTGTCCTTTTTCGTAGTGTAATCCTTAAGGTTTTAGGTTTCCTTCTTCATGGACGCCGGTCACGGGCAACGGAAAAAATATTTTCTTATTTGAAGATTATAATTCGAGTCCTGTCACGGTCGCCAAAAATTTTTTTATGTTTGGGCATAGAAATGGAGTCTTCTTCAATAAAAACTCGGTGTTTTTAGTAATTTCGCTTTATGTTATAATAAAATCAATTTAGCAGAAACAGTTTTCTTGACAGAATGAATTTAACAATTTTAACAAGTCATGACATTATGGTCGGTAAAACCAGCCGAACACACGAACGCGGGCGACATCTGCTATCTGCCGGCGACAACCAATGACGCTTGGGCTAAGAGCGCTCCGGTGTCCCATTCAATAGATGGCGCCATCCGTTATATAAATGCAAGTTTTCGCTATGATTTGTAATATTCCTTTTCTTTTATATGTATGTATATGTGGGGTTTATAGGGGCGCGAACACTTATAACCAAGTAAAAATCTATAAAATACATTAATATTATGAAAAACAAAGTGGTAATCTAATTTTTTATGGAATAGTTCACAGGAACATGCTCCGGTTCGTCACAAAGGAAAAATGAAAACAAAATGACAAAAATGAGTTGTTATGTCAATTTCTTTTTATTATTTATTAAATAGCCATCAAACCTTTGAACAAAAACATCTTAACACTAATAAATCACTATAATCATCAATTAGCAATTATTTTTCTTTCGAGATCGTCACAGTAGGAACTTTTGATTAGTAAAATTTCTACAACTTAAAATAAATTGAACTTAAGAGCTTATAAATAATATGAATAGCAAATTAAATGGTCAACTAAAACAATATAAATATTATCAAGTAAGTAAATATTTCTCAAACAAAAATTAGTATGTGTCTCGGTAAAAATATGGGACAGTGACTATTTGGAATTTTAAGTGACTAACTGGAAAAAAATAAGCTGAGTTTACAAAGAGTACTAATTTATTTGATCGATCATTTAATATTTCAACAGTCTTTATTATAATTTCAGTAAAAACAAGTTATTTCTTAAACATTTTTAATTAATCTTGAGGTACATACATAGTTTATACATATTTTGAACAGATTTTTAAAAAAATTGTAAAATTTAATTATTTTTAATTAAGTACCTACCTATTCGGAATAGCAATTACCGTTACGATCAAGCAATCAAAGTTAAATAGATGCAAAGAAAATTATTCAGTTGTCAGTTACATGTAATAATGTAATATATAAAAAGTGAAAAAAAAATGGATGCGTGTAACTTATGTACGCGCGTGAGAAGTTATACTTCTTTAGCATCATTAAAAATATTTTTTAATTGCATGCAAATAATTAATAATTACAATAAAATAATAAAAGGACTGGAAAAGGATAGTTAACACAGTCAATTAAGTTCAGTTTTAATTTGAAAAATTAAATAAATATTCAAAATATTCAATTAAAATCACTACTGAATTTAAGTTATTAGTCCATATGAAATTAGCACTTGTAAGTAACTAAAACACGTTGTGTCTATATAGAAACTAGAAACATGTGGATAAATATTATAAATATGAAAACAGTGATCAGAGGCGACGAGCGTGCCAACATTGTTTTTGACAACGCGATCATCTTATGGAGCTCCGTGGATCGTTCAAAGTACCTTTCGAACAGATGTCTAAGTGGTTAATAATCCACCATTATTAGACACTAACATTCATAACGCGCCCGCGGCCAACTTCATGGTGTTACTATTGTGTTACAGTGATGCGCGCGCATCTCGAAATTTCACTCACATGATTTTTTCATAACGCGCCCGCGGCCAACTTCATGCTGTTACTTTTGGGTTACAGTGATGCGCGCGCATCTAAAAATTTCACTCATCATTTTTTCATAACGCGCCTAAAGAAGTATAACTTCAAAAATTACTTAAGCTAGGTTTTATTCATTGCTAATTGGAATGTATTATGTTAAGTATCACTTAAGGTACTAATCAGCCTTCGAAACACCGGTCGCAAATATAGTCGATAGCTGGTTGGTCGCAGCAGGTTCTGCATACCCAGTTTTTACAACCAATACTTTGCGTCATGTCTGTCATCACATATAGTTTACGTAGTTTACACATATGGCATGTAAAGTTTCTATTGATTATAGTTTTTAGTGACCTAGACTTGTATTTTTCTTCTTTTAATGGTAAAAGTACTTTTACCTTTTTATTTGTCGGACCTATATCTGATGCCAATGTATTATTCTTTCTTTTATTCTTATGATCATTCTCTTTTTCTTCTGCCAAACAGCGTATATCGTCCTTTGTCAAACAGTCTACGGTATCTGAAACTAAATCAAACCCTGGTTGAGGATATTCTATGGCATCGTCAAAAACATCTATATCCAGAATATCATCAACTTTCAAGTTCAGTTCCATAACAGAGTCAGTCTTATTAGCTTTCTGGCGGGGCGAAACGGTAAAGTCTACAATCTTAAAATCACTTTGATCGATTTTACTACAGGGCGCAATATCAGTAACGGTGGCGATTTCTCCACCACTTTTATCGCGAGGCACATTTTCGATATCAATAATCGAGACCGTTTGAACGTCGCAGTTACTCTAATCGTTTTCAACTAAAGAAGCAGCGTTCTGATTGACATCCAAAAATAATTGAACATCGTGATAACCCTGGTTAGTTTTATCGTAAAAAACAGTGTCATTTATAGAGTCAGTTGTAATACCACGGTTTTTATTACAAGGCGACATATCAGGTCCGGTTCTGTCAGATTTAAATGAATGAGTTTCGGGATTCAGACAAGTGCAAAGCCCGCGTTTATCACCACAGAAGCAACTTAATTGCCATGACCTGGTGGAGTTTCATGGTTTGCGGAACAGCTTTAAGATCTTTTGGAATGATTTTGTTCATATTCTCGATATCACTATCAGAGACTTTGAAACATATAACAGATTTCATACTGGTTGATAAATGTTGATACGCATCATCTGCATCTGTCACATCATGCCAATAAGCCACAGGTCTAACTGTCTTTTAACTGCACCCCCAATACCATCTGCGACTCCCTTACCATGTCCACTTTCCGAAAATGACCAGGTAATATACTTTAGTTTTAATTTTATTGTAAATAAGTTAATGAGGAAAACGTTCTTTTTCTGCCTATATTGGGATGTGGGGCCGTCAGAAAAAAAATGGATAATTTCAATTGTTGAGTCTGATTTCTTTACAAACTGTAATATGGGCAAGAGATGTGCCCAGATGGCATTGAGTTCGTGACATGTATTATCTGATATCGTTACAAACGATTGCGACATATTATTCCAATAAATCATACCACAATGCAGTGTTATACTATTTTTCGATGCTCCAAAATGCATCGATTGGATCTCGGTCCCCAGTTTACAGTCGTAATTTTCGAAATAGTCGACTAGAATAGCAATTTCTTTCATGGCCAGATCTTTATTGCAAATTTGGTATTGCCGCTGCTGCTCTTTCCAGTTGTAGTAGTGTATCTTAAATTTTGAAAACTCAGCTTTAAATTCTGTCACTAGATCTCGAACCTTTCCTTTCTGCACAGGGCCGTGCCTGGGTATATGGCCGCCTGCGTGCCAGTCTGTATGGCCGCCCCCAGGATAACATTAAAAAAAACTACTTTAATTTTTAATGTTTATTATTATACACAGGGCATCAAACCGGGAAAAAATCAGTTTTTGGTTAACCGAAATCGAGAACGAAAAAAAATATTGATTTTGTTCCCAAAACCGGTTTCTGAAAAGAAAAACCGGCTAAAAACCGGTTTTATGAGATTTATATGTTTGGATGAAATTTAAGAAAAAAAAATGCACAAAATAAACATTTTTTTATTTAAAATTTAAACAAAAATAATAACATGAAAAAAATTATGGTATTGGTTTTATAATCACAGACAAAATTATCAAACATAAAGAACAAGGAATAACCCTTAAATCTATACTAACATATTAGGATAACAAAGCTCAGTGGCCAATGGCAGATCTGGGCTGACTTGCAACTTGGGAGGTATACAAAATAGAATTAATTTACATACTTTAATAATAACATGAAAAAAAGTAATTATGGTATTGGTATTATAGTCCAGGAGCCACCGCCTGTTTTTTTCATTGATTAATAACAGGCTGAATCTTGGTGAGTAGTTTCCGTTCGACGAGACGCCCAAGTTTTTCCTCTGTGAAAATTCTCGATAGAGGTAGCTAATAAAGTGCGCAGCTATAAAGCATGTCGATTTGGTGGAGTGTTGAAATTGTCTGACTAACAGTCTATTTTTTATTACAATGTTTAAATAATTGTATTATAAACTGGGAGGAATAATTGTCCTACAAAATGGATGGTTTGTTTGAGAGCGTCCTCCACTCCGAATATGTCGAAACGACGCGGCCATAAAAATAATTAATAACAAGCTGATTTTTTGTATGCAGCTTTGTAAATATTGTTAGAATGGAATGACCGTTTAGTCCTACAAATTTAGTGGTAGGATTTCTCAGTCCGACACTTCGAAGTTGGCAATTCTATGGTAATAATTTTTTCATTAATAACAGCCTAGTTTAAATTTTTTCCTATCGGGGATAAAGTGTAGAACACTATTTTATCACTGGCCTACAAAAAAAGTAGTATGTATATATATAATTAAATATATATCAAGCGGTCCTGATAAGCATGTACCATTTTCCACTATTCTTGGAATAAGCACGATTAGCAGCATGGAACAGAACTGGACTCTCGTCGCGGAGGTACCGTGTTCGATCCCTTGGAGAAACTTTTTTTTTTTTTAAATCGGGGAACACAAATTGTCAACAATATTGGAAGAATGAATTTCCGTCGCGTATTGAATAAATTAGGACGCATTAATTATTAATTATTTTTCGGAGAATATTTATCAAGAGACGCGACAGCGGCTCGAGGCCAAGTTTAAAAAAAAAGCGTAGCGCGCGAGCTGCCGCACTACACAACATCATCAACAATACCATTCAATTTCAGCATTTTCTGCTCTTCTTTAATGACATGGTCAATGCACCGTTTCCACGATTCAGCTGTGATTGATTGTAAGGCATCGGCTAATTTTTAATTTCAGTCATCTTAAATGTTTTATTATTTTTACCAACATATCCCTTGTCTTGTGCCCATATGTACAATACAATCAGATGCTTTCCTTTTCCACTTGGGTTTTTCAATCCTGGAGTGGGGGCATTTAAGGGATTTTTCGGCGGGAACTGAGAAAGATCTAGAAAGAAGCCGTGCCGGCCATCTGGCCTTGGGTTCCCTTCCCAAGCCAGTCGGGCACAAGCGTTCAAAGCGATGACATATTTCAGTCGAAGCGTTCAAAGTGCCGTAAAAAAACCTTGATATAAAAGTTAAGTGAGTGAAAATGGAGTGTTTTTTGTGTACTGTACTCCGGCGAAAAAAGAGAAGAAATAAAAAAATTTTCCAAAGAAATTCTGCTCTCGTGCAAGCAATTTTTAAAGGCGCGAAAACATCATCGGCACAAATATAACGACGTAATACTGCCCGCCAGTTGTGATGACGAAATAATCGGTTATCATTCCTCTTGCTACAAGGAATTCCGAGTCAAGGCTAAATATTTGACTTATGAAAGGTAAGACATTCAAATATTTTTAAGCGGGTATTTTGTCTAATCGCTATAAAAATTCGCCTAAAAATCTCGCTGCGGACGTTCGATAGAATAGAAATAAGAGCAAGAATAGAGACGAGTCCACCCAGCCTCGAACGTTTTTACCGGGACAGCTGCACAGTATTCGTATATTCGATTGTCTGGGATTACACAAGTATGCTGAAGCAGCCGTTTACTTTTGAAATACCGTTAGGTTCGGGGGTTTGGTGTTTGGAGTCGCGGTACATTTAAAAGCGAATCGCTGCAAGATATATATATATATACACACAATACACAATACATACATACACAGATTTCCGTGTCCATATATCTCAAAACAAAACAAGCCTCAGCTGACCGGACTCGCACCTTCAACTTAATTATGAAAATCATATTACCCAAGGCCAACGGCATTTCGAATATAAACAGCTGCTCCAACATAACCACAGAGAAATAAAACGACTTACGGGCAATTTTTCCGTTTCCTTTCCAAATTCCTTGCATCGTCCTAATGAAAATAATCATTTATTTTTATATTTTGCATGAAAACTTTGCTCCGAGCATCCTAAAAATATTAACTTTGATTTTCAGTCGGTATAAAACGACAGTTAATATAAATATAAAAATAAATGATTATTTACATTAGGACGATGCAAGGAATTTGGAAAGGAACGGAAAAATTGTCCATAAGTCGTTTTATTTCTCTGTGGATATGTTAAAGCAGCTGTTGATATTCGAAATGGCTCGGAGAATTCGGTTTCAAAACAATACAAATCTCAGCTGATCGGCCTCGCCCTTTCAAATAGATTACGAACGTCATAAAAATGAATTTATTCGAAATGTGCTTCCAGTATTCCAAGAAAAACTGCAACTTTCGAAAAATCTTTTCAGCAATTAATTTTTCCATGAAAACTCTGTACTCGAAAAACTATTGTAAAAATTCAATCTCTTTTGTAAACATTCTACCGTTATTTGGATCGACACTTACTTTTTTGACAATTAAAATTTATTCAATGTAAAAATTCATCAGTTAATTCTGTATAAAATATGACGAAAATTGATTTTGTCATTTTCCTTTCCGAATTTCATGAATCATTCTAATGAAATAATCATTTATTTTTATATTTTGCATGAAAACTTTACTTCCAGCATCTTTGTAATATTGACTATGGTTTTATACTGACTAAAAATCATATGTGATAAAAATAATATAATAAATGTCGAAATTATTGTCACAAACGGAAATGTTTTCATATACAGCTCCGATTCGAGCGGCACATCACCACCACGCAGATCTCGGGAAAATATTGATCATTTGTCAACATCTTGTACAGACGTACAAATAGATGAATTACCATCCACTTCACGGTTAGTAATAAAATGTAAACAAAACTCTAGCGAAATCAAACGAACGATTGCAAAATTTTTACAAGAATTAAGAATAATAATAATAGTAATAATAGTAATTAATAGTAATAGTAATTAAGTATAATTAGTATAATTTTAATAGTAATTCATCAAGACTTTTCCAAAATTATACAACGCATTTCATTATATCATTTACAGATTTATTGATGAAGATGTAATAGACAGTGTAAATCTTGAAAGATCCAATGTCGAAAAGTTGGCGAACGCATGCTTTTTTTTGCCAAAAAATCACCATCAAACGCAAAGGACGACAAATATATTGTAGTACGATCAAAAATAAAAAAGCGTTCCTGGAAAAAATCAAAACATATGCAACAGAACTGGGGGATCTAGATTTGTCTTGCCGAATACAAGAAGAGTTAAACTCTGATGATAGCACGATGTGTTTTCATAATAATTGTAGCCTCGATTATTTTGCGAAATATCAAAATAAGATACATCGCCCACCTAACAGCGATTGGGCCTCAAAAAGGGATTGCCACAAAATTGCTAGGGAACGATTGATTGGCTACGTTGAACGGGAAATAATTGAAAACAAACGGGTTCTTTCGATGGCTCATTTGAACGATTGTTATGCAGAGTTTTTAACTGAGTTATATGAAATCGCAGATCTTGACGCAAGCATTTTCAGCACTACTGCTCTTCAAGACCACATTAAAAAGGAACTCAGGAATAAAATTTCAATGGTGAAGATCTCGCACAAACTTTTTGTTATGTCGGTGGAAATTGATATTGAAACAGTGGAGGACGAAGAAATTGAAAATATTTTATTCCAACAAGAAGCTCAAGATTTCGCTTTAAAATATCGCAAACATATTTTGAAAATAAAGAAAAATGCTTTGCCGGATTTCATTGATAGCGAAGTACTGGACAGAGGAGAATGCGATATTCCAAAATGGTTGCGTATATTTTGGAGTACTGCTTTGAGCGGTGTTAGGAAAAAAATATGCAATCGCGTTGAACGATTGTCTTCGTGCTACTCACAGGACTCTATTTATAGTATCACAAGGGGCAATATAAAACCGCGCAAACATATTTCATTGGGCATTGCGATAAAAAGTCTTACGGGAAGCAAAAAAGTAATCGACATACTGAGCAGACAAGGTTACTGCATAAGTTACAGCGGAATTCTAGAATTGGAGACGTCTGCAGCATACTCTTCGACTTCGAACAATCTTTTATGCCCTTCCGGTATTCAAACAACTTCGGTGTTATCGTCTGGAGTAGCGTGGGATAGTTTCGATAGATTTGTAGAAACGACCTCAGGTAAAAATACTTTGCATGATACTGTTGGGATCATTTATCAAAGTATTCCCACGGAAGAGGAATTGGATGCAATCGAAAAAAATCATGAGGCGTCCACAGAAACTGCGCAGAGTTCTTCCGATAATGTTCGTGATTTGTCCGGACGTAGGAAGCGAGCGTTTGAGCCAGAGATATTTGAAACCGTACCATATGCAAAACAACGTCGTCCAGAATTTTGGCGTAGTACGATACAACGCATTGGTGAACCTGAACACTTAAAACAGTTTCAAAAAATTCATTTTGCATGGGTAATTTCTCACAAATTACAAATTGCAAACACGCCAATGTGGGTAGGATTCAACGCTAAAATTTTCAGAGATGAAAGTAGGATCCAAAAAGTTGAGTACCTCACACAAATTAATAATACACCCACGGATCCAGCGGTTGTTAAGGAAACCATGCGGAGAAGTACGCAAATCGCCTCTGAATGCGGAAAAAACTTTTTCAGTGTGACGTATGATTTAGCCATGGCCAAGGTTGCGCTACGAATTCAGAGTGCAGAGGATGAATTTCAGAAACTTTTTATTAACTTCGGACCTTTCCACATAATGTTGTCATTCTTCAAAGCTTGTGGAAAATTTATAAGTGGATCTGGCTTAACGAACATTCTTATAGATAGCGAAATTTTGGCCAGTGGATCTGTTAGTTCATTTGTAAGTGGAAAACACTTTAATCGGTGTAAAAAAATCCATCCCTTACTCTCTCTCGCTCTGCAAATTTTGCATTTCGAAAGATTTTTACAATCCGAAGAATACGATCTGGAAAATATTCAACAATATTTAGAAGTATTCAATGAACAGCAGAACGATCACCCACAGATAATAAATGAAAACTTGGCAGAATTGTTCGACAAATATGAACTTTACAAAACTGAAACTTTGGAAGGATTGCATGGCAAAACACCGCAAATATATTTGTTGTACACACGGTTAATCGGATATTATTTGGAATTAGACTACAGTATTCGTACGGGTGATTTCGATTTGTTTTTACACGTTTTGCAAAAAATAACGAACGTTTTTTTCACAATGAACCACCAGAATTACGCACGATATATGTCGATCTATTGTGATAAGCTGATAAACATCGAAATTACACATCCCGGATTGCTCAACGATTGTAGAAAGAGTTTCTTGGGCATCCGAAGAACGTCGAAACCTTTCTCGAGAATCCCGATCGATTTAACGTTAGAACAGACAATTAATGCCGATGCCGCTTCTACAGCTTCCGGAATCATAAATATAACAAACTCTTTCTCTGCAAGACAAAAATGGTCAATAACTCACTCATTGCGTACAAGTATAATATCAAAAGTTATGGAGTTTTGCGATCTGAGGTCACCAGACGATATCTCAAAGGAGTTGAAAAAGTCAGCAATCACTAAATCTGCTAAGAACTTGGAAGTGTTGCTGCAATCGATGAAGCAGTTCACGAATCCTTTTGGATTGGAATTATCAGAAGACCATCTTTACAACGTTTCTAAAGGTCAATCGGTTAACAACGACGTATACGATTTTTTGGCGTCAGTTGAAACCATGGGCGAAAAACAACGCATGGATTTCATTACAGAGAATCAAGAAACACCAGAGAGGTTTGACAAAGCCATCAAAAGAAATAAAATAATTAATTTTGAATGCAAAAATACGCAAAATGTGAAAATTGCTGGAAAAACTAAAGAAGTGAAGATTCAGCGTGATGTTTACGGTCGTCTACTATACGCGTCACTAAAAAATAAAATTGACATCGAAAAAGCATTGAGTTATCCTCTGGCTCCAATGTCGTTTTCGTTTTGTCACACCGATGGAACGATTTGCAAGACCACAAAATCTTTGATTATTTCAGAATTAGTGAAGCATCAGGCTGAAGTCGTAGATCCTCCGGAGGCAGAGATCCACTTAATTGACGGTTTTTATTTCTTACATACGTTAAAAAACCTTCCCGAACGATATGATAAAATCTCGCAACATATATTGAAAATCATTACGTATAATCGCAAGGAAGTACATATAGTTTTCGACAAGTACGAAACCCCCAGCATCAAAGATTATGAGCATGACCTGAGAGGTGAAGACAACGTGCAGTATGACGTGCGCAAAGACAATAAACGCCCCGCTGAGTTCGCAAAATTGTTGAGAAGCAGAAATTTCAAGGAAAAATTCGTAGAATTTTTGATTGAAGATTGGGAAAGAGACGAAATGGCGCTTTTGATCAGGGGGAAAACTGTCAAACTCAACTATGATAAATGTTATGTTTATGAGGTGTCCGATGCACACGAAGTAAAAAAAGTGATCGACAACAACCTCACGTGCTATCACGAAGAAGCTGATACGAAAATCGTTTTTCATATATGCCAGTTTAACAGGAATTACCGCGTGCAGGTACATTGTACGGATTCAGATATACCCGTGATAATGTTGGCAAATTTCAAATACTTAAAGGAAAAAATTGAAATAATATTTGATCTGAGCACGGGGAAAAAAAAATTGTACTTGGACATGAATGCAATTTATGCCAAGCTCGGAGACCAATTATCGCGGTCGCTTGCTATTTGCCACATTTTCACGGGAAACGACTTTAACCCAGCCTTCTATCGAAAAGGAAAAAAAAGACCTTTTGACATTTTAAAAAAAAATATCAAATTTCAAGAAGGATTCTTAAAACTGCACAGCGAGCGCGCTGAATTATCAGAATCGAGCGATATATTCCGGGTTCTTGAAGAGTACGTGTGCAGACTGTATGCCCTAAAAACGAAAAATGACGTAAACTAAGGACGGTATGAATTATTTGAAAAAGGGTACAAATGCAGCAACCAAGAAGAGAAAATCGTTAAAAAAAAAGTCGTCGGATACGATCCCTCAGTTCTGCCACCAACGAAACAAGAGCTGTTGCAGCAGATAAAGCGCACATCATATATTTGCAATATTTGGTGTAATGCACACATGCGCAGCCCCTCAGATAAAAATCCGGAAAATTGTGGATGGGCACTAATTGATGGGAAGTACCATTATTATTGGTTTGATGGTCCGCACAGTCCATCTCTGGGAGAGTTGACTCCTGAAGTTCAAGGTATTTTATTGGTTTTCATACGTTTGATTATTATACTGCAATTTGTTAATTTTCCGGAATATTTTGTTACAGAATCAGATGACATTTCATCTGATGAAAATGAGGAAGATGAAGACGACGCAGAAGCATCGGATGAAGCGTCGACATCCGAATCCGACGACGATTAATTTTTTTATTTTACTATTTCAATAATTTTTTATTTATTTCAATAATTGTATTTTTTTATTTTAATTTTTTTCATTTTTGCAGTTCATGCAACGGCAGTTGTCTTATTGTTTCAAAATGTATTGATCAAGCTTTCGAATATACGTCTCCAAGCACCAAAACAACAGCAACGAAATAATGAGATATATTTTTTTATTTTCTTGTAGGACTAGCGATACATACCCATTTTTTTGTAGGACACTGTTTGATTTAGGCAAAGGATGCATTAACTCATGATGTGTTTTTTTTGTCCTACGGTTATTAATGAAAAAATTATTACCATAGAATTGCCAACTTCGAAGTGTCGGACTGAGAAATCCTACCACTAAATTTGTAGGACTAAACGGTCATTCCATTCTAACAATATTTACAAAGCTGCATACAAAAAATCAGCTTGTTATTAATTATTTTTATGGCCGCGTCGTTTCGACATATTCGGAGTGGAGGACGCTCTCAAACAAACCATCCATTTTGTAGGACAATTATTCCTCCCAGTTTATAATACAATTATTTAAACATTGTAATAAAAAATAAACTGTTAGTCAGACAATTTCAACACTCCACCAAATCGACATGCTTTATAGCTGCGCACTTTATTAGCTACCTCTATCGAGAATTTTCACAGAGGAAAAACTTGGGCGTCTCGTCGAACGGAAACTACTCACCAAGATTCAGCCTGTTATTAATCAATGAAAAAAACAGGCGGTGGCTCCTGGACTATTATAATCACAGACAAAATTATCAAACAGTGACAATTTAAAATTATTTGATTTTAAAAAATCAAATCTTACGTATTATTTATTGATATTGAAAATAGTAAAGGTTTTTGGTTAATTAACCGGTTTCATAAAATTATTTCGGTTAGGTTACCGGTTAATTAGGGAAATCTTTCAATCTTTCAATTATCGCATTGAAAGTGAAATTGCTGAATCTTCACGAAGCAATTATTAAATAAAGTACATATTAAAAGTTAATCCTACGGGATTTTTTACTGACAAAATCGTCAATTGCTTCGTGAATATTTAAAGATTCAGCAATTTCACTTTCAATCGCGATAATTGAAAGATTGCTCATACGTTCTTGCGTCATGGAAGTACGTAGGTAATTTTTTATGATTTTCAATTTAGAAAAACTACGTTCTCCAGACGCAACTGATACAGGCATGGTCAATAATAGTTTTAAGCTTGTAGATACATTTGGAAATGAATTTTGTAAATTGTGTTTGTACAAATACTTTAGGAGTTCTTCGGGTTGTTTCCTATCTTTTATAATTATTTTCAATGAAATTAACTCTTCGTATAATTCTGCTCCGTTTATGTCGCACGATTCGCCATCCTTGAATTTATTATGAAAGTCGAAGCAACTTTTTTTTATGTCGTCCTCTCCTATTTCAACAAATTTATATAAAAATCCGAAAGACTGTTCGAAATTGGATAATGTTTCAAATCGGGTAGTAACAGATGAAATGGCTGTATCCAATATTACATAGAAAAAATTAATTTTGAAATTTTCTTTAGCAGTTAACTGAATATCCTCATCTCCTTCATAGTCAAATTGTTTTCGCTTATGGCGTCGACGTAGATTAATTTTAACAGGAAATTCCGGTTGTATTTCAAGTGATTCACATAATTCATCAGCAATTTTCAAATACTTTTCGAAATTTTCATCATTTCTAATACTTTGGAAAAAAATTAAAATATTATTAATAGATTCAGCACATGAAGTAAGATTCCAAGAAACGGTCTGCATCATTTTACTAATAATATTTACTTTTTCTAAAATTTCGTACCATATTACTGTGGAACAAATAAATTTGTACGATTTAATTTTCATTGCCAAACATTTAGCTTCATGTTGACCTATTGGTGTTGAACATTCTTCCGCTAGTTCTATTAGGCTGTCATAAATTTCACCTAATTCATGACGCAGTGGTCTAATCGCCTTAATCCTTGATTCCTACCGGGTTACGCTAACTTGTTTTACTGTTAACGATTTTACATGTTTTTTTAAAATTTGCCATCGAAAAGGTGATCCGGAAAAGTAATTGTATATTGCTGACACATTACTAAAAAAATCCACAGTTGAAAAAGAAACTTTCGCTGCATCATTGACGACCAAATTTAATGTATGCGCGTTGCATGGCATAAACAAAGCTCGTGGATAATTGTCCAAAATTCGTTTCTGCAATCCAATATGTTTTCCAGCCATATTTGATCCATTATCATACCCCTGGCCTCTCATATCGTTAACATTTAATTTAAGAGAGCTTAATTTTTCAATTAAAAAGTCGTAAAAAGCTTCTCCAGTACTTTTTTGAGCTGGAGAAAAACCAACGAAATTTTCTCTCACTTCTACTTCGTCATTTTGAATATGCACATATCTCAAAATTATTGTAATTTGCTCGACATGTCCCATGTCCGGCGTACAATCCAAAATTACTGAAAAATATTTGGCGTCTTTTATTGCTGACAAAATATATTTTTGAATTTGCGCTGCAAGGATACTAATTATTTCATTTTGGAAGCGATTTTCCGCATAATGTGGCATATGGTTCTTTAAAGCAACTGATTGTTGAATGCGATTTATGTGATCTGCCATAACATCATCAAATTTTCCTATCATTTCAATTGCTTTTAGAAAATTTCCATTATTGTTTTCATACAATCTGCTCGAGCTACCTCTAAACGCTAAACCCTGTACTGCCAGAAATTGTACCACAGATATCATGCGTACGACAATTTGATACCATCGTTTTTTCTCTGCGTCATAATACCGTTGCAAATTTTTATCAATTGTAGCTTTGTTTTTTAAATTTAATTCCAAATTTTTCCAATTGGTGCAATTTCCGATATGCAGCGATGTTTTTTCATGACGAGATAAATTATCAGATGTGTGTTGCCAATCATTGAAGCCTTCATTAACTAATTTTATTTCTTGTTTGCCAAATAATTTACAACAGAAGCAAAATATGGAATCCGTTTTTGGAGAATAGATTAACCACTCACGATTAAATTTTTCACCATTTGGCATTTTTCTATAGAAATAAGTTGATGAAAATGATCTTCCCAATTCATTAATTGGATATGTAGATTGTTTATTTTGTATGGGTCCTTTTTCGATTAATATATCCAATATTTTAGTGGTAATTGTTAAAGGCCAGCAAGCTGGATCATTTAAATCCATACACATAGCAAAATATGCTTTATCAATTTCAGCGGTATCGGTATTGTATAGATCGATATCCTTATTATCTTCTGTTTCCATTTCGTCGGTACTACTAGTATTGTCATTAGCCTTTTCATTTTCGACAGATAATTCATTTTCATTTTTATCGCAAAACAAATCATCAATTGGATTTAATTGGCTACTACAACTACTTTCCGGTTCTGGCGATTTTACTAAAAACTTTGTTAATGCCAAACATTTTTTTAGCTTCATTTTGCTTTTCCTCTCGCTTTCTTTTATATTGCGCTCCAGACAATCTTTTCGTTTTCCTTTCAGACATTCGTAGACCTTTAAAAATGTAAATGAGCAGTGATATTAAATTTTAGGGTAGACTTTCACTTTTTGGGCCCGGGAAATTTTGGCGGGTATTTTTGGAGGGAAAAGGCCTTTTGATATGAAATTCTTAAATAAATATTAAAAAATATTTAATAATATTAAAAAAAAATTAAAAAAATAATAAATAATAATTAAAATAAATAATAAAATAGCGCAATTTAATATTAAATTACTTAAAATCTATAATTAATGTATATTTTAATGCGCATAGGATGACACGATAAGAAAATCATTTATAAGCTTTTTAAGTAAAACATATTTTTAAACATAAATATGTCAAGATTTATTTTGAAAATGAAAACGGAGAGGAAAATTCAACCACATATAACTGTTTTCTAGTTCAATGTCAGGTAAATTTCTTCCATTTAATAACAATAACATTGCTATTATAAAAAGGAATCATAAGCTTAATTTAAAGAGTTGCTTTCGGCTACACAAGTTCAAATGCTTGATTTTCCATCGGCGGGTTGTGAGCGATTTAAACAGAGAATCTCGTATGCAAACAAACAACTTTTAATTATTATATAAATGCATTCAAAATGAGAAAGATATTCATTTTTTAGTATAAATTAAGGAAGATTTTAAGTAATTTAATATTAAATTGCACTATTTTATTATTTATTTTAATTATTTTTTTAATTTTTTTTAATATTATTAAATATTTTTTAATATTTATTTAAGAATTTCATATCAAAAGGCCTTTTCCCTCCAAAAAGACCCGCCAAAATTTCCCGGGCCAAAAAAGTGAGTCTACCCAAATATTACATTTTTTGTGTATTACCTTTTTCAGTCTTTGTCGAGTAAATAAACTTTTTATTAAATTTCACCACACGAACACACAACTAAAAGTTTTCAGGAATTAAGCAATTTATTTTTATTCGTTAAATTAAAGACTTTAATAATATCGGATCACACACAGGACACAAATAACGATTTATCCTCGCTAGTCTATAGACTAATACGACTAATAAGACGAATAAGACCGCTTACGCGACGCCGGTCAATTGAAAAAACTATTTCGGCTCGTCGCTCGTGGGCTTCTCATACAAAAAAAACGTAACAATACGTTCTGTATATCAAGTGCGCAGTTGAGTCGACGTGACGTCATTCGAACTCTAATGACCTATTGAACTCCGAACGGCACTCGCAAATCGTCAATAAACTTTATTGCAATGCGATTAGAGCGCATATTAGGATGCACTGTAAAGTACTTATCCGTGCAATCAGATTTTAGTCGAAAAACAATATAAAGCTAAACAATGATCCAAAATTATATATAATTGTACATTCTCTGATAAATTATCATTACTGTTATTGAGCTATTCCATCGTTTTTATAGTTTTGTAAGTAATACGGTACGAACGAAGTTTCGGAGCTCGATTTATTGATAAAACTTGACGCAAAATTTAAAAACCATATTTCTAATACATTCCTAATAAAATTATCTTTCAGAAAATGTATGGTTTTTATAGGTTTTCATGAATATATCATGTAATAATCAGTCATAGAAAAACCTCTGACAGCGCGGTAATGCAGCGTAACCGACCGAACGTATTGTGAAATGATTTATGTAAATAATACGACACGGAACACTGTTCTAAACGTTTGTAACTAATAAAAACACTATAAACACTATAAATAAGAGAAATAAAACACTTAACTTACGTTTTTTTGTTTAAAATCCGTTGAAAACCACACAAAAACTTTCACAACACGGCACTCACACAACTGCACACAACACAACTGACAGCAAACTGGCGCGAAATATTTTACCGTGCGTTTATACTTGTGATTGTGGTCTCTTTATTCACTGTGTGTCCTGTGATTGGTTATTCGTCAGTAGCTCTTTAACTTATCTGTGTTATACCGAAAACCGTATACAAAAATACATCTTACGACCGAAGTTATAAGGAAAAATATCCGTCACCGACCCCCAGAATCATTTGACACTCGCTGGGAGCATCATATGATGCTAGCGGTCGTTGGCGGTATGTAAGCGCGCGCATCATATGATGCTTACGGCGTTTAGAAGGTTTAATGAAAACAAACCGATTGTATTTTTGCCCAGTAAACAACTTGTAACGATTTGGCCGCCTCTTAATTTCGGCCGCCTGCGTGCGGTGCACGCAATGAACGCCCGTCAGGCACGGCCCTGTTTCTGCACTTGCTTCACAGTTTTCTTTGTAGTAATACTTTTTTTCCAATTTTTGGTATGTATGCATAACCCTTTCTCATCTAAACCATGTAATTTCGTCTTCATTTTTTTCCTCTTTATACTATAGGCTTCGGTTGTTACAATTTTCACATTTTTCGTACATGCAAGCATACGAGTTTTTGTCACAAACGGACTTATTAATAGTATCTTCGAGGTTTTTATAGTCTATAACATTTTTGTATTTCAGAGCAATGAAAAGATACTCCATGTTGCTATGTTTAACGCACATGCAGGTATCTCTATTTTTGGCCGTAGGTGACAAAACGTAATATGGCTTATAGCGAAATAAAGGCGTAAAACTGTGTGTACCCCCCTCCTTTTTGTAAATTACATATAAATTCAGTCAGTGAAGAAAGTCGTAAATTTAAACACTTCTCGATTTTAAATATTATTTAATTATTTTACAACTACTACTTACCAATTAATGATCATAATTAATTGCTAACATTGATAACCACCCACTGCAGTGTTATCTCCTTTGAAAGTTCGATAAATAACAAAATTAACACACATTATGGAGCAAGTACAGTACACATTATCGCAGCTGATGGAGACTTTTCATAGCAGAATGGAAAATTATGAGGCAGAATTGCAGAAGACTCAGACTTCACCCAACACCAACACCACCAGCACCGTGTTTCTGTCCAGTGAGTTTGCAGCTTTCAAGGTCTTCATTATGGAATCACTCAACGCACTTCAATCCCAAATTCATATGGTTTCAAGCGCAATTGATAGGCTCGAGATGTATGGCCGAAGAAAGATGTTGCTGTTCCATGGAGTTCCAGAACAAGATGACGAAGATACCTCTCAACTCATTACTGAGGTCATCACCGGAAAACTAAAAACTGATGGCTTTGTACTGGAGGACATAAAGGTATCACACAGATTAGGTCGCTCGAACAATCGCAAAAAACCTCGGCCCATCATTGTGAAGTTTCAGCAAATCAGTGTTCGAGATAAGGTTTGGTTTGACAAATCGAAGCTAAAAGGTACTGGTGTAACTTTGTCCGAGTATTTGACGCAGTCTCGTCGCAGTGCATTCCTTGCAGCACGTGAAAAGTTCGGCATCAATAGGTGTTGGACTCAGTATGGCGTTATTCATGTGCTCGGCCCCAACAACACCAGACATCGCATCACTAGCACTGAGGAGCTTCTGTTGGTGGAACTTGAACCGATCAGGGCTTCAGGCACTGAAGAGATTCAGTTAATGGAGCCTGGGCCGGACAAGTCTTCAGCTGCTGCAAAAATAGCACCAAAGGCACGACGACGTGCTGCTGCTACAAAAAAGTAATAAATTGCTCTTGATTGTGCTGTCTGTATCCATCTAACAGTGACTTGTTTTTATAGAGTTGATACGAAATCATAAAAATGTTGCAACTTTTATAACATCTACTATCTCTAGTTGAGTTTAGTTATTTGTGTTTTTAATGTTTTTATTTTAGTTTTTTAAAGATAAATTTATTATCAAATAAATAAATAATGTCACATCACCAACTAACAACGTCACGTAAACGTCACTCATTTTTCTTTTAATTTTTTGATCGTGAAGGCAAAGATATGTATGTTTAAACAGCCTTAATATTCTTTTTTTTTCCTCTTGTTTTTATTCTCATTTTCTGGGTGCTGTTTTGTAACATTGTCTCTTACTGAGATCAAATTAATAATTTCAAGTTTGTACTGATGTGTGTTTCCGTTAACGACTCTTTGATATTACGTAGATTTTATTTATATTTGTAACACGTGCGGGTGGTACATGGTGTTTTTATTTGTTGGCAAATTGCTTTTGATACTTATTCATAATTTTATTTTATATTATACTATACATTATATATACATACATAAATTTATTTATATTTATTCTTTCTAAATATATTAACATGTTATTGTTGGATGATGACAGTGCCAATACCTACAAAGCTATCATTGTCACTACTACATGCTGATTCATAAGTATCAGAACTTATGAATCAGCATGTAGTAGTGACAATGATAGCTTTGTAAGTATTCCTACTTTAAACGACTCACTTAACTCCTGTTTCTCTGATGTCTCGAAAAATTTTAACGTTGTACATATAAATGTCCAAAGCATTCCGGCTCATTATTCTGATATGCTGACAAATTTTGACTGTAAGAAAATTCATGCTATACTCGTTTCAGAGTCATGGCTTAAACCATGTCTCCCTTCTGCAACCTATTCTTTGCCTGGCTTCAACCTAATAAGAAATGATCGTACGGTGGGTGGTGGTGGTGGTGTCGCTATATATCTCCGTGCACATATCCCTTTCACAGTTGTTGACATGTCACCTCAGCCGCCCCCGGTGAATGCTGGTGAACATCTTTTTTTAGAAATAAATCTTAGCAATACAAAGGTGTTGCTAGGCGTGTACTATTGTCCATCCTCCCGAATAAGTTTCTTCTCTTCTCTAGAAAACAAGTTGGAGATGTTGTGTCCGTCTTACAGTCATACTCTTATCATGGGTGACTTTAACACCTGCCTTCTTAAAAATGATTCCCGTTCAGCAATTTTTCGCTCGGTCCTACAAAGTAATAATTTATTCTTACCTTCTTTAAAAGCCACACATAATTTTCCTAACTGTTCTCCTTCGCTTCTAGACATTATTGTTGTCTCGTCTTCCCAACATGTCGCCAAACATGGTCAATTCTCAGCTGATGCATTTTCCTACCATGATTTAATTTTTATCTCGTACAAGATCCGTCCACCAAAAGCTAAGCCCAAAATTCTTTTGCAGCGCAATTTTAGTAGTATCAATCACGAAAACCTGCGGAAGGACGCTGCTAATATTGATTGGTCACAGCTCCTTAACTGTTATTCTGTGGACGAAAAGGTAGGTTATTTTGTTTCGGCACTCACAGGGTTGTATGATGTTCATGCTCCTATTCGGCCCGTAAAAATGAAACATCGTCCTTCACCGTGGCTCACTGACGAAATTAAGAGCATATCTGAGCGGAAAGCTGCTGCCAAAACTAGGTACAAGTGCCGACCCACTCCTTCCAACTGGGAAAAGTACGTCAAGGTGCGCAATCAATGCAATAAGGTGTGTAGGAATGCACAACGCCATTATATACACAAGTCTATTGAAGACGAAGATCCGACGAAGGTCTGGAAATTTCTAAGGTCTTTGGGCATAGGAAAACAACGTCAAACATCTTCTTTTACTAATTTAAATATCGATTTGCTTAATAAGCACTTCTCCTCCTCACAATATTCTGACTTATCTAGCAAGTCTAATACTTTGAACTATCTTTCATCTTTGCCATGCCCTAATCATCCATATTTTTCTCTTAGTCAATTTTCTGACTGTGATGTTAAAAAGAGCGTCATGTCGATTGCCTCTGGTGCCATGGGTGGTGATTGTGTCAGCAGGAAAATGATTATCCTTATTATAGAAGAAATCCTCCC